TATGATATATACAACAACAAACAACAACCACTGAATTACAGACTCCTGGCATGGGAGAGGTACATGCAGAATGTGGCGCGGTTAACTATCTTTTCTGGCGCGAAATCCTCCAATACCTGGGACAGTGGTGAAAAAGCACAACATACGAAAAAAACTATAAAAATCAGTTATGTCTGCCTATTATCTTCACTTAAAGCTTGCATTGACAAATAAGGGTCGAATGAGAACAAATCTGTACGACAAAAGAGATAATTACAGCTTTTCAGTTCTATGTAGCAGCATTCCTGCCAGTTAATACGATATTCTAGAGCTCTAGAACTGTCATAATTACCTTGATAGAGTGTTGCTGCTTACTTAAAAGAAGCTATTGTTGCTCAGTTTTTAGTTTCCTATGTTGTATTTTGTAGACTGTTGTTTGATTGCCGGTCGTTTTCGTTTTTTGGCGTGTCATTGTCAGTTTGTATTCGACTTGAGTTTGACTATTCTTTTGCTACAATGTATCGTCCGCCTCTCTTGTATGAATGATGTTATGTGCGTTTCATTGATATATTGACACGGATTTCCATGACATCGTGACAATGCTGCATATTTACGTGGCGTCCGAACATTACCATATATTTGAGAGTATCACGCCCTGTCCTTGTTTTAACAAATTATCATGCAGTAGAATAAACAGAACATGTACAAATTGCCGATAATATGCACTATAAAATACAATTGTTTGGAAACAGTAAGAAGTAATGAAAGCACAACAGAACTAAAGAACTTTCAAATATATTCAAATAATTTAATTTTGGATGTAACACGTCTTCTGATTGGCTGACGTTGTTTTGTCTATCAGCTCTTAGACATTATTTTGTCATGTGACCGTGACGTCAACAACCTTTTTTTCATGGTTTACTCCGGTTTAAATGAAATTTAGAATTAAATTATAAGAAATGACTGTAATATTTTTTCTGTCTTTTCGAAATAACATAAAAAATGTGGTGCACACTTTAAAATAACCCGCTACGCGGGTTATTCAGTATGCACCACATTTTTGATGTTATTTCTTCATATACAGAAAAAATATTACAGTCATTCCTTAAATATTTCTTACCGTATGTTTATCTATCTTTGGAAACATTTCACATTGTAATCTACTACTAGATATACTAAAGAGATCTCATACGAACACTTTATCTTTTGTTTTTCTTGCTATTCAAGAAGGGTACATTTTTTGCAGGGGGAATAATGACTCTTAGAGAAAGTGAGATTCATTTTAACTGTCATGGTATAGCTGATGGCGAATCGTGTTGGAGAGAGGATGGTGGTGATTGGTGGATAAGCGATTGCAGAAATGGCGTGTGTGTGGGTTTTTCTAGTCCTGGAAATGGAAATGCGTAAGAAATCAGTGTCTTTTTTACATTTAAAATTAGGTTGGCTGACTTGACTTGTACCCTTCGAGAGATTGATCTGTCACTTAATCTCACATTGTACAACAAATTGTAGCTTTGATGCAGATTCCATGATCACTTAGTATCCAATTAACGTATTTCTATAAATTCAATCTGAAGTTTTGTACTAATTTATCTAACTGAATTTCAATTCATAAGGTTATCGCAAACTTCAACTTTTTTTAATTATCAAGAAATAATATAGAAATGATACCTCAACAAATATATTCTGATGACTGCTGATTGGTTGATTCAGGAGTTCGAGTGCAGTTTGTTTGGATTCTTGCATTATAATTTTTGCTGTTCTGTTTTCGATAAATTATGTACAGCGGATACTGGTTCAAATTTGTTTGTTAAAAGTTGTGGTATCTTCTATTTAAATACAGATACCTCAGTGATATATAGAGTAATATTCTCCCCGCCGATTTCGTTTTGATGATGTTGTTTCCAGACAAGGACGATTAACGAAAAATATGGTATTCACTCTTGCTCACCTCTTTTGGAACAACTGTATTTGATGCTTGTGTTGCCGATCCTTATTTTTGAAACATATGGTCGCTAATCCAATAAAAATAAACACCCTTCACATTTATGTAAGCACCATAACAGCAAGAACGTCGACATAAGGGTCCTCGTTGTTTTGATTATTCCTGATTGCAGCTACAAATGACTTTGAATGGCAAGTGCAGAAAAAACCAATAAATAACATTCAAATCATTTGAACTTTTCGTATGAATTATGTCATTCCTTGCTCGACTACACTGTTTACACATTTACAAATGAAATAATTTTCGTCTGAATTGTTTTGAATTTTGTCATGTCATATGGCCCTTTTTTAGCATACAGTATGGTATAAGTTTTGCTATTTAATGTTTGAAGGTTGCACGGTGACCATTAATAAATTAAATCTACACCACTTGATATCTGTATTGCTGTCTTCTGTTGCACCAAAGGTGAATCTTCCTATTTTTTTTATTAAGACAATTATAGAACATCTTCAATATCTTTTGTCGGGAACTTGACAAAAAGTAAGGTTGGCATTGTAATTTAAACAAGACGTTTTTAGTTGGTGAAATGATTATTTATTTAATAGTTGTAACAGACGTTGAGCTTTCGGTAACTGCGATTATTCATAGAAAGAAATTTTGTGTCCTAATTGTCCTTTTGTGATCTGATGAGTCAAGAAATGTTCAACTGATATTTACAGTTTGTTCTCATGGTGTACTGTCACAGAACTGTACCAAGTAAGGATAAGTTTAGCGCTTGAAACATGTTTCACCTCTTAATTTTCAAATCGTTTTAGCCCTTATTGTGATCAATAGTTGCTTGCAATCACGCAAATTATGTCTTTTGGATAGTTATCATATACAAAAATATATGTCACAACCATGATTACGAACTACACATTATCAGTTCTATTGCTCGAAAATCGAGGACCAAAATAAAAACTATAAACGGAAGAAAGAAGACAACATTGTAGAAAAATGAAGCTACCAAAAAGGCAATTAAAAGTTTACAAAACACTGCACAGAAAATGTAAGATTAAGGAAGACGAACTCCATAAAATATTAGAGATGAACGCATGATATCTGAGAGTTTAGGGTTTTTCTGACATAATTGTGACAACCGTTGTGTTGCTAATTTCAATTAGATAGTCGGTGGCAAGTCATATTCGCTGATGTGAGAAAAGTAATCTTTTAATTATATTTTAATGTATCACAAACATAAAACACTTATCATTTTTAAAAATTTATCAATTCTAGATGTACCAGCGCTGCGTACTGTCGTAGTTTCAGTGGTTTGTGTCGTCGCTGTATAGATGGTCGTTGTAATTATCATGTACGTAATATGGTTACCTTAAAGAAGTTGAGTGGGCTAATGAAGTACGCCTGCCGTCGATATTGCATAGACATTTATTTTCAACACCTAATAGCAAAACAGCCATATAATTTTGTATGCAGATGCTTTTTTGAGATAGAATAGAGAATGGAAGCAGGAGATGTGTCAAAGAAACAACAACCCGACCAAAGGGTAGAAAACAACCCAAGGCCACCAATGGGTCTTCAACGGACCGAGAAAATTATGCATCCGGAGGTGTGCTTCTGCTGGGCCCTAAACAATGATAGTTTAACAAAATATACGCCATACTAAACTCTGACGCATACAAATGAATCAAATGCAAATGCATTAAACGAGATGTAAGTTAATCGTCAATGAGACAGCAGCCTAATCACACTAAAAAAAGCTGTAAGATTATATTTCAATTCTGACAGTGCGTGTAATTTGTTTGTATTGCTCGCCCTTATATTCAATAATTACTTCCTAAGAATAAATCAAATATACAATTTGAAATATGTTTCAATGTCTTAAATGACAGTACATGTATGCTTAATTCTATGGATTTCTGTAATTTTGTGGAGTTTATGTACCCAGTATTACTATGAATATCGGGGATGTCCAATTATTTGTGAATCTTCTAATGTATGAATAATTTGGCATTCTAAAGTGACTACAAAATGATACAATCTAAACTTTATCTATTTTCTAATTGGGCCACGTAATTCCCAGAAAATTTGTCAAATTAGTTCCCTAGGTATTATGGTTATTTTGCGTTGAAGATTTCTGAGATATGGATCTTTTCATTTAATATACCGATGATTTGATTAATTATTTGTTCGTGTTTTTTGTTTTTGTGCAGAACTAATCTAATGTAAAATCATGTGTCTTTAATCGTGGAACACTGTCATTAAGGCTTAACCTATTTTTCAATTAACAAATTTAGAAACTAATACAGATATAATGCAAACAAAAACTCTATGCAGAGTTAACAACGTCATAAGAAATTAATATCCAATCAAGTAGTCTAATGTTATATGATTTTTTGTACTAATTACACCTTATATAAGAATGCCGGATTTTGATTGGTTGTTAGCCAGTGTATTTTTCGCATATTCTAACATTTTTTCCTCATTTCAAACGAATTTGCCTGTTTTTTCATCACTGCCGGTGAATGTGCCTCAAATTCCCCTCTCTGCCGTGGTATTTGCCATTTTGGATATTCCTTGTTTACCCTTTGAGCCAGTTCCCGCCAAAATCATTCGGAACCTTTCTCACTTTATCCCGACAACATGGTTAAGCACTATTGATTGAGTTAAACCGAAAATTCTCAGAAATATACATATAAAGAGGGAAACAAATGTCTATACAAATGAACGATTTGATCATGGAATAACAATGACGTTTACACATATAGATACCATGACGTTAGAAAAAGACAGTACTAACGCGTATAAGTACATGTATAATTCCCGCGGTTCTACGATTTCCCTTCACATGTACAGACAGTTTCAATCAAAACCTATTCAGTGTAATTAAACAGATATATCATGTTATGGAGGGGTATTAGCGGCTGGGGAAATTTCACTGTCCCTTAACTGGTATTTTTCGCAAATACCCCTCCATAACATGATATATCTGTTCAAAATAGAAATATTAATCTCAACCCTCCAGATTTTGAAGATTTTGTAATGACCTTGACAAGTAATCCACTGTTTATCATTACAGACATGTAAGAAGAGGAGATTTTCGGACAATAAAAAGATCAAAGAAAGCTTACCGTAAATGTTATAAAATATTTTCAAACAGTATTTTTATATCATTACGAACACAACTGCTTCCGTTATCTACATATGTTTTATCATCTAAAAACGAACAGATACAACTTATCAAACTGCTCAACAAAACGATATTTTACGACTGAGTGTTAAAATTTCAGATTTGGCCAGAACACTATGGAAATAAACTCATCACAGATACCAGGAAATTTGAGTTCTGTTAATAAATAACATTTTACAAAACTATTCTTCGGCGATATATTTAGTCGTTTATTTTCATTTACGATGTTAAAAATTTGTTCTACATACTCGAGGTTTGATCAGTATGTCTCAATATCAGAATAATGAGATGTGTTTTGATAGATAATGAGACAACTAACTAACAGACCAGAGGACATATATGTGAACAATTGCTGGTTACCGTTCGACAAGTTCGTAATCAGCTTCGTAACTACATGTTTGTACCTAGATCAGCTATATATTCCTTATTTGGTGCAAGTCTACATTCATCAATTTTGAATAATAATTCAATTTGCGGTTGATACCCGCTGAGTAATATCGTATCTGTTTTTAGTTTTAAAATAGGACCCATTTCAATATCATACAATAATAAGATTGAAACGTCTTATTGAGGTGTTTGAGTTGTTTTTGGTGCTCAGTATCGTTCTGATACCCGTTTCACCTTATTTTGGTTGATTGTTTGTTTTTATGTTGTGTCGTTACAGCACTGTAAAAGGTTATTCGATAGGTCTTTATTTAAGGCTTTTATACCCAATCGGATACGCGTTTCGTCTACTCAAGACTCATCAGATCCAAACTAATAAAAATAGTTGGAAGGCCAAATCAATAAACAAGTTAAAAAAAAATTTAAAAAAAAAGTTCGAAAAAGTTGTGAGATATACTGCTATATCTATGCAGTTGGTTATCAAGTCGTTAGTTTTCTGTTTAGTTTCCCCAATATTTCGTTATCTCTTGCCCTTTAAAGCATACTTTACATATCGGTGTGGTTCATTGCTAAATATCTTACGGTGTTTTTCTTAATATCTAGTTCCTTTTAAAATTTCATTATTACCGATATAAATCATGCTGTGGATTCATTATTTTCGTTAGTGGATTGAGACAAACTTGCATTTTCGTGAATATTTGATTTTGTGCTTTTGCCCAAGTTAGCATACAAGCCTATAGAAAATTTGTTATTCGTTGAACATACATGTATCATTTTTTGTGTAAACATTTACCAATGCAAGAAAATTCTTAGTATACAGTAAGATACATACTGAAGACGAATGTTATAACAGACTTTGGAGTATCGTTATATAAAGGGAATGTATACATTATTTTAAAATATCCCACTCATCATAAATTTAATATAGTGGGTAGATATGAACATTCATATGTCTTGTGTAGAACACATTCATTTCGACCAGTCTGCACTGATACGAAACTGATATACGTTTAAGGGACTATAATTCAATACCCATGTGACCCTTGATTATGTAAACAGAGTCCGTTGGTTGTCCACTTCCCCCTAACATTCATAGCATTCACCTTTCTTTTTTTCAACATCGTCTTTTTTTGTTCTTAGATAAGTTTGATATACATATACAAAATATGGTTCTAGTTTTAAAAGCAAGACCTAATCTATTTTTTCACAGTAAAGTCTTTTTAAAGCACAACTCAGAAGATTGATTAACCAATCAAGTCCAAGAAATTGTCCCACAGCATAACGTTTGATAAACAGGGCGAGTACAAATTCAAAACAACCGTCTACAAAACACTCTTTCATTGACGTATACACCAATCTCCTTTCATTCATATAGATTACGCAAAAACAATATTAACACAAACGAGTGATGACCTGCGCCACTACAGAAGGGTTCGAAGTTTCTTGCTACCCTCATACTGTAATGAAAGTTATGACGAAAAGGAACATGAAAGTAGTTTATAAATTATCAATATTAGCAATACTCCAATGCCTTCTACGTATTATAATAATACGATAAAATATAAATACATTGTATCAGTTCATCACAAGAATTTATGCTATCATTATCAAAAGTATATCGTCTACCAAAAAAGTAAAATCACAAAAATACTGAACTCCGAGGAAAATTCAAAAAGGAATTCCCTAAGTAAATGGCAAAATCAAAAGCTCAAACACATCAAACGAATGGATAACAACTGTCATATTCCTGGCTTGGTACAGGCATTTTCTTATGTAGAAATCTAGCTTGAAAAAAGTCTCGAGAATCTGAACTGGTTGAACCTTACATTTTCTTACAAAATAATTAAATTTTGCAATTTCCATCTAGCACAAAACGCCATTGCAACATCTTTTGAAAGCTGAATGATATGCTATTGTTCCACAGCACGAACGCTCCCATGCACGATTCAATACACCATTGCAACAGGTGTTGTAAGCTCGATCATACGTTTTTGTTCCACAGCATGAACGCTCTTTTTTGTGGTTCAATACATCATTGCAGCAGGATTTGTATGCTGGATTATACGCAACTGTACCACAGCAAGAACGCTCCCATTTATGATTCAATACACCATTGCAGCAGGTTTTGTAAGCTCGATCATACGCTACTGTTCCACAGCACGAACGCTCTTTTATGTTATTCAATACACGATTGCAGCAGGTGTTGTAAGCTTGATCATGTTAATCATACCATCTATTTCCACACACAGCTTGAAAGTTAAAACACATAAACATTACAATGTGCACGTAAATGTTTGCAGAACAATAGATAATAATATTAGGACCAACTGCAGCACCTTAAAACAAATGCTAATTTATCCATGGTCTTCAAATTCCCTTTTTCATAAAGACTTGTTATGATATATGAGAGGTTCAAATTTGAAATACCTAGTCATTCACATGGTGTTCGACCTAACTGCTTGTTCATAATAAAATACAAAATGGATACGGAGAATGTTTCAAAGAGAACAAACCCGACCAAGAGCAGAAAACAGCCCAAGACCACCGACAGATCTTCAACGCAGCGGGAAAATCCCACGTCCGGAATCGGGTTTCAGCTGACTGCTAAACAATATTGTATTAAAGTTACGCAAAATGGACGCCATACTTAACTCCAAAACATGCAAATGAACCTAGTTAAAAAAAATCGAAATTTAGCCCAATGATCTCGATTTAAAATACAAAAAAAACGTTACGTACAGACATTAAGAAAAAAAACTGGTGTTAACGAGATATGATTTACAAAGTTAGGCAGGAAATAATGTATGAATACCAATCGTCACAACTTGGTCGATTCCGTTCCTTAGGGGTGTAGTGGATTGACCTGGGGTTGACAACCGGTCTGAACAGGGTCTTTTATACAAATAATTTGAGTAATTGCAAGTGATTATTTTTAGTGACATAGTGTATTAACTTAACAAACGTACCTGCTTGGGTTTTCTCTATCAATAAGAAACATATCAGTAAAGCAGTGAAAGTTCCTTTGCAATTTGCCAGTTGTTTTCTGAAAAAATAATTGATTGCTACCGATAATCAGACTTGAATTAACAGTTATATGTATTATCAGTATAATTCTCAAATATATAAATACATAGTTTATTGAATACGTAAATAATGGAAAAACATTAACAGAAAAACAATTCCAAAGTCAATGGAATGTAATTCAGTGGTTCGCGTTGGTTGCTGTCTGTAAGATTTGTTATTTGTTTGTTGTTTTGATATACACCAGGGTGTTAGATTTGGTCATATCGGGACTTTTATTCGCTGACTATACAGTATGGGTTTTGAGCATGTTGGTAGTCCGTTCGGTGACCTTTAGTTGCTTGAAGTCATTTAATTGGCTAGGTTCTGTCTTATTGGAAATGAGAATAAAGAATTAAAATAAAATGCAGAAAGTGCATTTTTCCGAATATTTATCCAAAGGTACATAAATAGGCCTATTAAAACAATATTTATAAACTATGTGATAGAATATCAGAATAAATTAAACGAAATACATTGTACAATAATCTGCAAGAAACGCCTGCCGGATTAAGTATGATTAATAATACGTAATTCGAGTCATCAAACTCTTTAGACACCAATGAAATTATATTCAATTGCTGTCATCCTAAATATGCATGCAATATTTGCCACTGAATGACTTGCATTAAAAAAAAGTAACCTTTAAACATCCATTCAAAGTTAACTTTTTATAGCTTGAGATAGTAATTTGTGTCTATAGTGGTTGATATAACAGATAAACAAATATTTGTATACATCATTAACTTTCGGAACTTTTTGCTCAAAAGTTTTGATAAAGATTAATTTTCATGAGTTCATGTCACTCAATCTTTTTTTTGTGTTGTTTGTTTTTTGAGGGTTTGTCTTTCGTCTTTTTTTCTTTTGGCATTGTAGTTGACAACTGTCCATCCATTTTTTTACTTTGAAGTGTCTCTAGTTAAATGAACATTACATCTTACTCAAGTACGTTGTTTGATACAAGTCTGTACATTGTTGTACTTTCTTATATCATATACATTCAAATCATTAAAATTAAAAATAAAAATAACATTATAAATTGTTTGCGTCAAAAGCTCTTTACTTGACAAATCAGGAATACTAAGACAAACGATATTTGAAAGCCAGGGATGTATAAACATTTAAACACATGAGGAGCGTATGAACTAAAGTGACATAAAAAGTAGCCAAAATCACTTATGTAATCTTTTTGTTATGAAAAACAATATTTTTTCTTTAGTTCCAATTGTGATTGGCTCAATTTTATACATGCTATTTGTGCAATAACTGAAATCGAAAAAAATAATAAACATGTTAATATTGACGAATATAATATCAATTCATATCTCATGTGTGTACTGTTAAATGTAATTGTATTCATAATTGTTGTATTCTATTTCCTTTGTTTTCCTGACCTTTAACACGAAAAATTTCTACTTTTCTCGATTTCTCAGCAGATAAACGTAAACAAAATCAAATGATGCTTATTTATTAAATATAAAATTAAGATATTTGAAATTAAATAATTTACCTGATTCGCTTTTGAATTTCGATGACCGTTTTTATATTTAGCATTTTCATATAAAGTCAGATATAATATCTATACATGAATATGTCATTAAAATAGTATTTATGTTATTAAGTGTTATTATATATTTGAAACATATCACAAGTGGCAATTAATCATATCTGGAAACAAATGAGAACTGGATGGTGATGTTTATCTATGGATTCAAATTTAAATACAGACTATGTTTGTCATATGTTTCTATTTTGTCTTAAATAAAACCAAATACATATTAGGCATAATGAAAATAAACACGTTCTTACACGCTTCTTTGGTAAGTTGGATTATGTCACACGCTGATAACAACGTTGTACATGTTATGATATAATATATATAATAATACGGAGCACTTGAGATCACTACCGGTTTTTGTTGAGGTTCACTCACATCAATTTCACATGAATTTAAATTCATGTGAATCGCACGTGAAATTCACGTGAATTTCACCTCAAACGAGCATATACGTGAAATCAGTTCATGTGAGTTTCATGTGAATCTCATGTGAAAGTAAAGTAAATTTCACGTTTAAATCACATGATGTTTTTTTTACGTGAAATTAATGTGAATTTTTAAAATAACATAATTCAAATAACATCTAAATCATGAAAAATACCAATTTTTATTTGGTAAAGTGCACATGAAATTAATGTGAAAAATTGCACGTGAGATTCATGTGAATCTCAATTCACGTGAAATTCACATGAAAATTTTCATGTGAATTTCATTTGAGATTCACGTGAGCAATTTTTGCCTGTGTACTGTTATCTGTCTTATTATCGGTAATAGTTTTTTGCCATGGTATTGTCAGTTTGTTTTCGACCTATGCGTTTGAATATACATTTCGTATCTTTCTTCTCTCTTTTAACCAATTTATTCCATGGTCAATGTTGTTTTTATTTATTTGGAGAATATATATTTTTGGTAAAGTGTCAAATTAAGAGGAAACAAAAGCAAATACTTTCATTGTTTGCCTATCTCCTGAAGATATCTACGATATTCTAAGTTAAAACAAAAATGAAAAAGGATAATAAAATGTTATGCGTCCGAGGAGATTTTCTAGATTTTGCTTCATATGTTCGTCTTGTATATGTATGCAATATTAAGCAATTATTCATTTCATCAATCATCAAGTACAATTAATTAAGTCATACGACAGTTTATTATGCCCATTTTGGTTGTGTCTCTGATTTTTTCTGATTTTTAAAATAGTTCAATGAAAAACAAAAACACACGGTTAAACACATCAAATTCGTAATGTTTCAATTTTGATTGTATTATGTTCCACATCGAAGCATTTATTCATTTCAGTTATGGACTTGACCTTCTTATTTACCATCGCACCTATATTTCGTACCTAGAGAAAGAAAAACGGACGAAGACTTGATCCTTCGGGTCCGGTGAGTTAAAATGAAATTGTTTTTGAGAGTCAGATTCGTTAATCAACTCATATTACAATATCACATATTAAAATATGCAAAGAAGATACAGAGAAGGGGAAGATAATCATAAGTCTTAGAAAAACTGCCTACATACTATCCATAGGACAAATGACCAAAGTACCATTCCCAAAGCAGAAAAAATAAACTGATTAACAAGAACGATTCCAAAAAGCCGGTGATTAAATCAATTACTCTTGTAGGGTATGCTACAGCTCTTCCAGTACCCTTCGAACTGCTCAATGTAAGAGAAGTATGTTAACGATTAGTTGTATGAGGTGATGTTACAATCAGTGAAAAGAAGACGGGTTGTAGCTACGATTAATGAAACCTATGATTTGTGTTTTGTGACTTCCATAACGGTCAACCAACTCATAATGGTGCCTTTAAAAAAAACAAGCTATATAAAAGCAACTCAGTTGTCCCGTATAGGATACATGATTCAGTAGATACTAGAAACATCTATTACGTGGCAATTGTTATAAGGGAGAGCAAACACACCATTACTGTTTTTTTATAATGTCCGAATACCAATGTAGTTTTAGTCTAGAATATCTTCACTATATTCCATTCCAAGTGAACAGGGTTAAGAGAATAGACAAAGACAGAAATAGTTTTAATATTTTTATTGAGTCATATGTATGTTAAATGCCTTGAATGAAACAAAATGTTACTTTAGCGGAAAAATTGTATTACATAACAACTATCTCGTTATTTTCCTTCCATGTGATAAACAAAGTAAATAACAAGTGAAATGTATGTAACAGGAATACTTGATGGAATGCTGTACACCAAGTTTAATTGTTGAACAGCAATATATGCAATAAAAAATCAATTAAAGTGTTGAAAAAAAAGAAATGTATGTATGAAAGTTAAAGTTAAGGTCACCCATCAGATGAGGAAACAACTTTCGTCGCCTAGCAAAAAACCCCCTTACAGCATTTTTTGAAAGTTGGATTATAGGCAATGGTTCCACAGCATGCACGTTGCCTAAAAGTATTCAATACTCCATTGCAGCAAGTTTTGAAAGTTGGATCATACGCTACTGATCCACAGCATGCACGTTGCCTAAAAGTATTCAACACTCCATTACAGCAAGTTTTGAAAGTTGGATCATACGCTACTGTTCCACAGCATGCACGTTGCCTGAAAGTATTCAACACTCCATTGCAGCAGGTTTTGAAAGTTGGATTATACCATTTAGTACCGCATACAGCTGAAAAAGAAATGTACACCATACAAAAACGCGTTAATATATGTAAAAAGTTATCAAAGGTACCAGGATTATAATTTAATACGCCAGACGCGCGTTTCGTCTACATAAGACTCATCAGTGAAGCTCAGATCAAAATAGTTATAAAGCCAAACAAGTACAAAGTACAGATGTCAAAATATTAATATGCATGTAAATGTAATAGGATGTTGGTGTCTTATTGTCGTTCAGAAAAGCGTTCGGACGCATGAAATTTATAAGATTTATAAGATTCAGATTGATGTTTGGTCTCTTATCAACGTCCAAATCTGACGTCATCATGGTCATAGTAAAATAGCTATCAAAAATAAGCGGCCAATTCGTTGCTCTCTAATCAACGTCCAATAGTTTCCGAATCGACGTTTTTTTCGGACTTGCCGAAATAACAATGAATAACTTCACGACTCCATTTAACGAAAACAACTGGAACATTCATGATCTGTTACAAGCATTTTCCAAATGCAAACATTTGGTTGAATCTTAAACGCAAACGAGAAGTTAAAAAAATTAAGATTTTGAATGTTGCAGAGTGGAAATTATAATACGTTTCAACATTTGACTGTACACCTTTAATCTGTATACTAGTACTTTTTAAGACCGTATGTTGCCCTTTAGATGTCTTTCGGTTATCTCTTTAGTTGGTTTGTTATCGCATTGTCATATATCCATATGTCAAAATATTAATATGCATGTAAATGTAATAGGATGTTGGTGTCTTATTGTCGTTCAGAAAAGCGTTCGGACGCATGAAATTTATAACGTGTTGTTTTCATTTTTTACTGATGTTTGTCCTTTAAATTTTCTTTTAGTTAACTATTTTGAACGAGACGATGCCGACTTTTCAGTTCATACACATGTACTAAGTATTTATGATTTGTGACGTAGTTTTGGTCATAAGTGGGGTCACATTGGACGTCAATTAGAGGGTTAAAATATTTGACGCTGATTCGAGAACGTCATTTAACATTTAACGTCTATTTGAGGAACGGTCGTCGATTAGAGACCGGACGTCGATCTGAGTTTAATTAATATAGAATGGAACATAGTATAACGTTTAATGCTTATTTTAAAAGTGCTGTAAATAGGGAAAACAGAAATGTACAGCACAAAATTAAGGTCTAGCTACATCTTCAATTTTGAATAAACCTCGACTTTCACCGTTGTCTGTAAAGTCGAAATTGATTTCATCAGGTGTTATTGCAACACTTTCACCTGTATTTGTCTTTCCGTTTCTTTTGTTTTTATATTCGAGAGAGTAATATACTCATGTATGTATTCATATCGACATAACGTCTAGTATGAAGTGCAAAACAAACAACATATATGTTATTTGTGAAGGATACAGTATGGTGGGACCAGGTTTTAATTCCTAAGTTGGATATCACAAAGAATTATCAGTCTTTGATGATATATTTAAATGTATTGAGGACACTTTTTTGTGTTGTATCAGTAATAAAGTTTTTGAATATTGTCTTAAGAAATGATATAAGCCTTCTTTTTGGCGCATTTATTGAACCATTGTTAAACATGTTCCTTTTGCTGATCTTTCAATTCATCTCGCTGTATGACCCTCAGTCCCCCTCCCCATCCACCATACACACGAATTATTAAAAGATGTATTTCTTTGGGATATTTATCATTTAATAAGACAAAAAATGGCACGTTAAGAACAAAATATATCATATTGGCTTGTTTGTACAAACTTCGTGTCGATGAAGTCCCAAAGTATTCTTGCTGCAGATCTTAAAATGGCTTGATAGAAGTATCATACTCATGTTTCAGTAAACTGTACATATTTTTTTAATTGGGCTTAGGAGTTCAATTTTCTTTTTCAAGGAACAAGTTTACATAAGCTAAACATTATTTTTATATACATATGCACATTCATGGCTCTACAATCTGTCAATACCAGTATCTTGGCATTGAACAAGGTCATGTTTTTCTCTGACTGTTAATGACGTCTTTACACTAAATCCATTAGATGTTGGATGTGTACTGATTGATATTTAAGTCTTAGATGCATGATTGTTTTATTAGTTGTTATTGGCTTTGAACTAGCTGTCAGTAACTGCGAGTACTCTCAGATCTGTACTTAGTGTCTTTTTGTTGTGAGGATGCATATGTACCCGTCTACGGCCACTCTGTGTTTTTGTTAGATGTATTTCTATTTGTATCCATCTAATGAGTTAAGCCATTTTCAACCGATTTTTATAGTTTATTATTATGTTGTACTGTTACACCACTGTCCCAAGTTAGGGGGAGGGTTGGGCGCCCGCTGACATGTTTAACACCGCCACATTCTGTATGTGCCCGTCCAAGTCAGGAGCCTGTAATTCAATGGTTGTCGTTTGTTTCTGTATATCATATTTTTTTGGGGGTTCATTTTTTATACATAAATTAGGCTGTTAGTTTTTTCTCGTTTGAATTGTTATCAATTTGTTATTTCGGAACCTTTTATAGCTTGCTCGTTGTTGAAGTCGTACGGTGACCTATAGTTGTTAATTTCTGTGGAGAGTTGTTTCATTGGCAATCATACCACATCTTTTTATTTTTATATATTCGTGTTAGCCCGACTGATATTGGCTTGAAAGACTATGTGCATAAGACAAATTTAATGTTTGTATATTCAAACGTAGGCTTTCCAATTAGATTTTCAAAATTTCAAATTCGAATGGAAAAGTTAACATTATAACGTCTTTCTGCATTAAAGCTGTCAAATGACTATTCAAACTGTATATCGTTTTCTTCTTAACGCGAATGATGTATCTCATTTTTATATTTGGGTTTTTTGTTTCTGTATCAAAGAACACAAGAACCTTAGTGGTTAACGCATAACCTGTTAGGTCTGAGCTATGCTTCTTTCTTCGACAAACAATTCTTTTAACAACTTAATTTGATAAAACAAAGCACAAAAAAAACAAAATGTTGTCGCCCCCAAACCGTCACAATATATCTTTGCCAAATTCAAATTACTCCGCGTACATAATAAAACATTAAACTATATCATAAAATTGACGTCAAACACATGGACATCTATTCACGCGTACAATTCCCTTTTGGAATACCTACAAACTGTAGGTAGTTCATGACTAATGATTATCATTTAGGATTGTATTGCTATACATTGCTAAAAGGTTATTTCTAAAATGATTTGTTGAATAATTAATAGTTTTTAAGTGATGAAGTTGAAATCGTCCCTTCGTTAATTTTTTGGACGCTATCACGAGTTGGTTGACCGTTATGGAATATTCGTTTCACATATGGCAACTGAAGTGTTCCAATTATCGTAACTTCAATCCCGTCCCTTTTCCCTGAATGGAACCTACCAAATAAGACATCACCGGGTTTGTACTAATATGAGCAACATGACGGGTGCCACATGTGGAGCAGGATATGCTTACCCTTCCTGAGCATCTGAGATCACCCCATTTTTTGGTTGGGTTCGTGTTGCTCAGTCTTTGGTTTTCTATGTTATGTTTTGTGTACTGTTGATTGTGTGTTTGTCTATTTAGTTTTAAGCAATGTCGTTGTCCGTTTATTTTCAACTTATGAGTTTGAAAGCCACTTTGGTATCCTTTGCCTCTCTTTTCCTTTTTCATAGTTATATTGTTCTTATATAACCATTTAAAGTGCAATACTATATTACGAATCTTTCGTGGCTTATCCTTATACATGAATGAAAAATTTGAACAATTTGCAAGATCGTTATTTGACTTGTATTTGCAGGTTGAGACAACTAATCATACCTGTTTCGCTTTTCTCTACCAACGAGGCGCATATCAGTAAAAAAGCAATAGCTCCTTTGCACTTGTCCATTATTTTCTGCAAAACGAAATTTGATATCTGATAATACACATGACTAATTTAAAGGTTAAACACTGGAATTTTGTATTTTTACCGTGTTTTGAAAAAAAAAAAAAAATAAATATTTTTCTATGCATCCAATGTATGGTTTACAAGGTAACAATTTTCGTTTCTTTTTCTAGTAAATACCAATTCACCCTTCATTCCACACAATAAAACCAACTAAAGAATCATTTACAAAATCACAAATGTTAATTTACTTTTAGTTTCCCGACATCATGATGTATTTATGATCAGGTAACCACATTATAAATGCTAATAAGACGACTAAAACAGGCAATTCGAAAGATTAGTCAATTTGTTTGTACTTATTCGAAAAATTAATTACAACAAAAACCTAAGATTTTTCGGAAGCATTTATTTTTTTGTCATTCAGAAACGAATCACTCATTTTCGTTCCGAATATTCACCGTTCTATAATGTAAACAAACAACATTTTACCATGGTAACAGTAACATTTTTTCTATCATTTCAACAACAATGTATAGTGCTGTTAAATGTAGGTGAACATCTTTGCATTCCAATTTAAATTTATAGATACTTTCATATACAGATTCTCCTATGTCCCTTTTACGATTTTAGTCTTTTGCGTAAGCAAACGCTAGGGAAACAGGCAATTATTTTAACCTTGCAGTTGACTAGTACTGATTTATCTATCGCGACGATATTACACAATCTAAGCAGGTAACCAGTCAAACGTAAACAAATCTCAAATAAACAGATTTCATAAGTTACATAGTGTGCGTTATGCTTATTAACTTTACAGCAATCGTTTTAAACGTTCGAACACACTGTCGATTAATGTATTTGTTATTTGAAAATTAAACTGTCTCAAGATTATGATATCTGGTTTCATTCTCTTGTTTACATACGATATCTAATCAAAAACAAAAATTGAAATGTAAGTATATCAATATTTGCTACTTTTGGAAAACGGTCGTTCAAGACCAGATAAAAGAGTTTCAGGACTTAGTTCAAAGTTACAAATATGTTTCAAAACTCCAGATTAAGTAAATGAATGTTAAGTTTCTATCACAAGAACTACTCTTCGTCCGTATTTACGAAGTATGAATGTTTGATATTACCTTTTCGTTATTGAATTTAATCGACAGCTTTAGAGTAATCCTTTTCGTACACGTATGTTTAAAACATTGTTCCATTCGAGATTTATATACCATCAGGGATAAGTGTCATTGTGTGTTATTATTTAAATTATCCAGATTTACAGCTGTCAATGAAGGTCAAGGAACGACCAGTAAACAGGATGTTTTTCTATGCATCATGTTTATGGACTTGACTTTTCAATTATTTTGTATCGGCCGTTATTTTCATCAATAATTACGAACAGTCGTTGGGTGGATACTCAGTACCAGAAAAGATCGTTCGCCAAATACATGTAGCTAGTGATATAGTATTTTCACTGTGAAATGTTCAGCAAAGACATTATGTAATTTTTAGTAAACTATGGTTATAATACTTGTTTCGTTTACTGGTTTATATCAATTCATCCCGTACTTTAAAAAAAAATCATCTACAAAATTATACTGATGTCAATTTACTTTGATCTTTACAACATTATTATGTATTTATGATCAGGTAATATCATAAATGCTGAAAGACAGACCAAAACTGAAATTACCTATTAACACTGTAAAGTGTTCGGACATAATGTATATGTCATAAAGGTTAAAGTGTCATTGCGTGTAACTATTTGAAATAAATCAGTCAATCAAGGCAGGGGAACAAACAGTAAACAGGATGTTTTTCTATGTATTTGAAGTTATTTACAAAATAGGATATCTTTATATTTTGATCATTTCGTTCTATTATGTCTTACATATTTACATCAGGTAGCTTATTTTTTTTCCAATAGATTATAGAATTTTATGAAAAAAAATTGAAATGTAAAAACTCTATACCGTGTTTGTTAAGAACATTATTTTTGTACGGTAAAAAACAAGGCACTACGATTTTTATTATACTTTCTTGAAGAATGTTCACAGTCGTTTTAACTGTAGTATTAGTTCTAGTATGAGTTCGATCCATCGATCAAAAGTACGTTCACTTGAATATGTAGTGCTTAGCGCCAAACTTACTACACCTGTTATTAAAAGTATGTGTTTGACCCGTCAGTCAATATTATGTTCATGTGAGTAGTTGTCAACATGCTCAAAACGCTTTCTGAAAATACATGAAAAAAATATCGGATTAATTTTACAATAAAGAGATGTTGTTCGACTGCAATAAGAAAACATTTACTATTTACCAGAATCTAACTGACGTAGATTTAAGTAACTCCGGGTTTCGAACTCACAACCTATATATAGTCAGCTATAATAGGCCCCACAAAATACGAAACAATTCAAGCGTAAAAAACCAACAGCCTGATATAAGACAAAATATATAAAAAAACTATGATAGAAAGTAATCAACTACAACCACTGAAGTATAGGCATCTGGCTTTAAATGTTTTGAGATTTTTTCTTCGGTTAATCTTTTAGTACAAGACATACATATTTTATAATATTTTATGCTTATTTATCAAAAAAGTGTTAATCAGTATTATAATGAGAATAATGTTGTGATCAGCATTGACTTTGCGAATAGTCCCAATACTTTCTAACTTTACAAATGTATAAGTGTTGTCCATTTAAAATGAATAGTTCGGAGGATATTTACATGTATGCCTCTTTGTAAACACGAAAATCTAATGTTTGTGTTTCCTGTTCAAATTATCAAGTTACCGGATTGTTACTGAATAGGGAGATAAAGATAACGAGGTTACTACAAATAGATTGCTTGTACGTAAATAAAGGTGACATCATCACTTCAAAAGGTATGCTATCTTAAGACAAACTTAGTCTATGTAATAGATATATGTTTGGATATCGTACTTCTGCATGTAATCATAGTAAAATGTTTTATCGTTCTTAATAGTATATTAGTAAGCTGACATATACAATAACAACTTATAGATTTAAAAGAGTTTATAACCTTGCGATGTATTCAAACATTACGATGTACATCGATTTGTGATTTGTTTCATTTACTCATATTTTAATCAATGGTAAAGGTAACAGGTAAAATTCATTTTGGGAACCGATAACAAATATATATCCGATATAAAAATAAGGAGATGTGGTATAGGTAAAAAATATGCGTATATAACTCGATAAAATATGACAGTTACCTATGAGAACGTTTTTACCAATGTCTTTTCTTTTAAGTGTATATCACTTATAGTAATTATATTAAGAGAAGCGTAGGATAAATTGAGTTTATACCAATGACCTTTACAAATGTGAACTTTCCATTTCTATGTAGCAACATTCCAGCAGCGCCTGCATACGGAGTATATATATCCCAATTGATACCATATTCCCGGGCTTGTATTTTCTATCATGATTTCCTTGATAGAGGATTGCTGCTCACAAGGAAGCTATTAAACCAAGAGTTCCAAATGGTGAAGTTGAAATAATCCCGTCGTAAATTTTACGGACGCCATCACGAGTTGGTTGACCGTTATGGAATAACCGTTTCACAGATGATATCGGATATGTTCCTTATGTCGGAACTACAATACCCTCTCCTTTTCACGAATGTGACCTACCGAATTAGACTATTTACCGGATTTGTAATAACATAAGCAACACTACGGGTGCAACATGTGGAGCAGGATCTGCTTACCCTTCTGGAGCACTGAGATCACCCCCAGTTTTTGATGGAGTTCGTGTTGCTTAGTCTTTCTATGTTGTGTCATCTGTACTAATATTTGTCTGTTTGTCTTTTTATTTTTGGCCATGGCGTTGTCAGTTTGTTTTCGATCTATGAGTTTGACTGTCCCTCTGATATCTTTCGTCCCTCCTTTACTAACTTTTTATTTATTTAGTTTCAGATAATGTTTTGCTGCATCTTTGAATACGTCGTGCTATGTATTGATTTTAAACTTTATAGTCGTGCTGAACTTAAACAATTTAAAACCCTGACAAACATTTACACATACAATTAGTTTTTGATCCAACCATGTACTTAATCTTAACTTTCCAATTGTATGTTTTTTTACATTGTTTTTTTATTCGTTCGCTTGTTTCTTCTGTTTGTTGTCTTATCTCATTCTGTCTTTTTAAAAAATTGTCCTTGATTATTTCCTGTTCTCTTCAGTGGTGTACGTAGCTCATCAGCTACAGTGATCACTAGCCTATTACCACTGATGTTGTGGGTTTAAACCCTGTTCGTGGCAAGATGAGTTCGACTTTGATCTTAATTTACTAGGATTTCCAATTTTCCTGGTGAAGGTCGCATCGGAGGTTCTCTCTGAGTACTTCGGATTCTTCCACGAATGAAAAACTGGTTGTCATAAAAAGCCAAGAGTGTTGAAACTGGCTCTTAACAACTACAGTCATTCAATAAATCTCTTCTTATCAGGGTAACTTTGATATAAACAAAATAAAGCGATCTTTGTTCAATATCCATTTGTTATTTCGAAATACTAACACAGTGTTTGCGCAATCATTCTACGTAGAGAATCTCAGAAAAATCGTTAAGAACTAACTTCTTGTAAGAAATATCCAAGACAATACATTATAATGTCGAATATTCAACCATATTTTGCATTTTTTTCGAAGTGATTGAAACTACTGGAGAATAAACCTGGTAAGTGATCCTTATATCTGATAAAGCCAAACAGTAAAGGGTAGGGAAATAGTCTATCTTGGGTAAGTTGGATGTTTTATTAAATAAAAAATAGTATGTCGAAGGAATTTACTGATATTTTAACTTGGGGGACTAACTCGATCACTGAGTCAGAGCTAGATGGTCAAATATGTGACCTATTTAAGATAACCAAAAGGGACTGATTTTGCAATATAAATAGTCGCCATGAATATATTGTAGAAAATGAAAGCTATTATTGTCCAATATTAAGATACGATCGATATGGATTAAATAATTATTTTTCGTGTGTAAATAGGTCCTTTCTGAATACTAACCCCCCTTATCGTAGCTAGTGGTCAATAAATACTGACAACTAGAATAAACAAAATACCGTAAATAAGAGTTTCGTGACAAAAGCTTACACATTATTCAAGAATAGCTCATATGTAATAGAGTAAGATTATACAGATAATTATTTTAACATTTTCGCAATCACAGATCAACATCAGTCGACCAAAGAGTATGATAAATTTACTTTAAGATGTTTTTTAATAGCCTTTCATCGTCGGTGAACCGTTCATTGTACGCTTATGACTAATGTTGATACATTTATTTAATAGAGACTGACACAAACGGAAGAACGAACTAGTCCATGCTTCGTTTAACAAGATCTAACAACGCATCGTTCAAGCTTCTGTTTTGATGATTATAAGGTTAAATAATGCAATTTCTTCTTTAATTTTTTCTTAAATGTGAATCATTACGACAAAGCGGAAAAAGAGAGGCCAAAGATACCAAAGGTATATTCAAACTCATAAGTCGAAAATAAACTGACAACACCATAGCTAAAAAAGAAAACAAACAAACAGAAAAACAACAGTAGAAAAAACCGGAACGGGAATAATAGAATAATCCTCTTTGTCATGTTTGTTTATATTTGTCTAGTTATGGTTTATGTTTCTGTAACATAGAGCACACCAACCGTAGTAGTCAACACATAACCAGTTAGGTATGAGTTATGCCGCTTTGTAAGACACACATTCCTTTTAACAACTTAATTTGATAAGACGGCACAATTTTGTCGCCCCAAACCGTCTCAATATATCTGTGCAAAATTCAATATATTATGCATACAAAATACAGCATTTAACACTTTCTTAATATTTTCACCAAACACACGGACATCTATTAACAGGTACAATTTTCTTTTCAATACCTTCAAACTGTAGACTACTGCTTATTTTTCAAAAATATATTGTTATACATTGCCTAAAAGTTATTTATGTCTTTGATTTTCTATGTTGTGTTTTGTGTACTGTTGTTTGTCTGTTTGTCTTTTTCTTTATTAACCATGGCGTTGTCTGTTTATTTTCGACTTTGATTATCCCTTTGGTATCCTTCGCCTCTCTTTTTATAAAATGATTTGTAGAATAACAGTTTTCCTTTTTCGGAAATATATTGTTCTTATGTAGCCACTAAAGGGTAATTCTATTTTACGAAATCTTTCGTTGTATATCCTTATACATGAATGCAAAATTTGCATATTTTGCAAGATCGTGATTTTACTTGGTTTGGTAGGTTGAGATTAAATAAACAAACGTACCTGCTTCGCTTT